GGACCGGTTTACACTCCTGGCGTGAGTTCGAGTCCCTCCGCAGCAACGGACAATGCTCGCGTTTTACTGGTGATGCAATAACAGGTCATTTAATAAAAGTGGGTTTCCCACTTACCCTCAACGCGGCACACTACGAAGCAGCGGGTTATGTTTTTTTAAGGATATGAATTATACTTTTAATTAGAATAATAGCTATACAGTTTTCCTTTAAGCTTATTTAAAGAGTATTTGATATTTTATTATTGGAAATGTTATTTTTATGTGACTGCGTCTCTTGGAGGCTAATGTGGTCTATTCTCATTCCAGAAATTCTTCCAACACACCAACGCATCTTCTCCCTCTAAGAACTGTCGTTTAATGAGCTCCAACTCAGCGCAACTTGCCCCGTGTGGTGACTGTGGTGACCTCGTTGGTCCTATTCACGTCTGCCCAATCTGCTCTGTTCATATGCACCCATTTTGTGGGAAGCCTGTCGGACAAGAGGGCTTTGGACAGCATGTTCTCTGTCCAGACTGTGATTCGGGCAAACCTCAAGCTATATCAGCTCCTCCTATCATAAAAAGCTTTCTGTCCCTGGCTGCTAAAGCAGTACGCCAAGTCAACTCTCAAAGGGACAAGAGTAATGTGAACTACGCTCGGAAAGCCATGATTCGATGCGGACTCTCGCTGGATGTTGATGGTGTATGGAGAACTGAACAGCTATTCAGCCACCTTCAAGTAATCATCAAGAAGTTCCCAGATCAATTTGCTGGACAAGCGGTTCCATTGGATATGGCAAACAAACACACAAAAAAACAAAAGAATATCCAGACCAGCTTCTCAACTAGTGTGACTAATTAGGGTGAGACATTAATTAGTCTAAGTGTGACTAATTCTACCACACCTTAAATAGTCAGAGTGCATAATTAACCACACTCATACTAATTTAGGTGAGCAGAGTCTGCAGCACCTCACATGAATTAGTATGAGTGAGACTAAATACCGTAGCTACTGTAGTATTTTCTACACATGCAATGATATTTTATTTTAGAAACAAAATATCATTGCATGTGTAGAAAAGCAGTTAAATCCTATTGTGTTCGAAGCAGTTCAATACTACTCCATAGTATGATACAATGTCAAAGAATATCGTGGTTTTGCTGTTGGAGCACTCTTCAACAGGTCTAGTATGCCTGTTTATCGCTGCTAATAAACCGCATTTCCAAGCAAAGCACGTCGGAGTGGCTTCCGCTACTCCGCTTGCTGTGGTTCTTGGCAATTATCGCATTCAGTACGCTCCGAAAGCCAACTCATCGTCGGAAGTTGAAGCGGCATGCTCTGCTTTGGCTTCGACTTCATGAACCTTGCCGCCTCTGCTATTCTCATAGACTTGCTAAGAATTGCAAGCATTACAACAGTACTCCACCTTCCATTTACGCTTTCATTATCCTACAAAACCTCTACTACTGCTAGCTATAAAGCACTAGTGGATCTTACAGCATTTTCACTCTCACGCAATGCCCCCCCTGGTCAACATGGTGACGTGCAGTTTGCCGTTTGCACCTGCTCCTTGTCCTTCTGCTCGAGGAAGTTAGTGCTCGGCATTATTCACGAATGATTTAGCCACCGTCCTACTATGACATTCAGTATGAAATTTGTGGGGAGAACACAGTAGCACACATGCTGATTTGAGTATGTAAATTCAAAGAAGACAAATCTTCGTTGAATTGCTATTGTGATTTTTACGGAAGGACCAACTAAACTTTGAAACGATGAAACTATAACGTTTATAGTAACAATCTATGTCGGATTCAAATAAAGAACCCATCGTAAAGGCTGTAGGTCTACTGTGATCAATGTGGCAGCTTCTCTGTTGTTTTCCATTTGGACTATAGCTACTAATGAACGGGCATAATTTCAACATAGTGGCATGTATCCAACTCGTAAGCGATGCTGGTAGAGTGCTCGTGCTACGACGAAAGTGTCGCCGTCACAAAAACCTATTGGTACTAGTATGCGCTTTAGAAGGTCACGATTTTTGCAACGGATATAACGATGTACTAGAAAGTACTAAAGTAGTACAGCTGATGCAAACAATTCAAATTTGGCGCGAAGTTGAAGTAGTGGAAAAGATACGGGCTGTGTTTCCCTCCCCCCAGGGTTCACATCAAGAATTCCACCAATAAGGTATTTGTGCTCATAGTGGCATGTCGTGTGATTGGTGAAGCCACACATTCAAGAGTTGTGATTGGAGGAACCGTGGCTTCCACAGCGTGCTCACGGGGCGAGCGAATATGGCGGCAAAATCTCGCCGTGCGGAGCGCGGCAAACGAAGGCTCATTTCCAAGTTCGACGAAAACCGCACAAGTCCAACAGCTCAATGACCGCCACTGTCTTCTTCGACCACACTAGTGCTGCCTCCCACTCCCGTACAGCCAACCCAGAAACAATCGGCAAGGCACTGATCCGCTTTGGCTAGGCGGAGCCTTGCTTGCCACATATGGATATTCATCGACGGACCCGAGCTACTGAAGAACCTGTTCGGTGGTACACCCACCTGCGGCTTAACCAAGCAGATGCGGGGAGGGCTTGTTCATGGCAGGTTTACCTGAGATCACGACCGAAGAGCTGATCACTATCCTGTGGAACGCCGAATGCGTACTCTGCTCCCTGGCTCTCCTTATTGCCTCGGATATCGTCATCGGTTACCCCGCCTTCAAACTCCTTAACGGCTCGGTGCACGTCAGACGCGAACACAGTCTCATTGGCTAGATGTACTACTACATGGCGCAAGTGAGCACAACCCGTATTTAAACGGCAGACGTAACTCGTCCAGGGTCGAACCGTTGCATAACTACGCTGGACGGAAATGGAGCCGTCACCGCGGAGCTACTAAAAAAAAGGCGAATCATGGGTACAGGGTTTTCCGTACACGTACTAAGCTCCTCTCGAAGGCAAAACGTTCAAATTTCGCAACATATACTCTGCCCCTCGAAAGGCCGAAGATGCCCAGAGAGTGTGGGGCCCAGATTCGCGGCTCTCGCCCAGGTCACACACCAGCAATGCTCGCAAAGGTTCTCCGCCGCGCTTATAATCAAGTTGCTCCTCCCTATGCCGCTAAGGTGAAGAAAGGCCTTCTCAGGATCAAGCACGTCTAGGACCACCAAAGGATTTCAGATCCGCTTTCGAACCGACGAAGGTCAGCAAAACAGATGTACTGGAGGTCCCGTGGCACGTCAGAGTTGTACGCAACCACCACTGCAGAGCGGTAAAAGCGTCAGACTACTGGTGTGCTTATTTAATGCAGTTGATGAAGAACCGCTGAAGGAGCCGCAGTACGCTAGCATACACGGCTACGAAGCTGCTGAACGACTCGCTGCCCACCACATGAGTCCAGCTACCGTCGTAGCTACTGAGAATCGCTGCGAACTCGCTACGGTGAAGTTTCTTAAAAATAGCGCAGAAGACCAATTCAGTTGACGGTCTCGTACGAGGCTAAGGTGCTGGTGGGTATAACTGGAAGTAATCTCAAGCAATAAATCATTTTTTTTATTTGAGCGTTTCATTATCTACAGTGGAGACAACCCCGTTACTTCTTCTCGCGCTGCTTGCGGTAAATTGCATCAGAGGGGCTCGCATCTTGGCTTCCGCGCCGATAGAATCTTACAGGAGGTAGCGTGTCAGTCTCCATGACAACATGTTTCTTTTTGCGCCACTTTGATGACCGGTAGTACATGCACTTGGTGCATTGGCACTGCTGCCATTGAAGCTTGTTAGCTTGCTTCACCATTACATAGATGACGTTCATAGTCATACTCAGATACACAAAGATAGTGTAGCCACGCTTTTTGTGAAACCCATCCTTCTTGTGAAGGTAAACTGACTCTTTATCAACAAATTCGTCCGTCTTCATTTCGTTGTAGCATTTGAAGTGCTCATCGAGCTTGGTCCGCGTATACGGAAGGTAGACTTTCAAGAAATCTAGGCGATCGTGAAGGTGGTTGCGCGTAATCTACACATATCGATAACAAATCAGCCACTGTATTCAACTGACACAGATCTAAAAATCAGAGTCGTAAATCCGAAATTTCCATGGAGGATCGAAGCCATCTCAACAGCATGATGTATTCGTGAAGAAGGTGATGATTGCCGGCATAAAGCCCTGTTTAACACTGTACATTTGTTTCACTGGGAGGGTCCCAACGAAATCATCAATTACGGCATAAGAGCCAAAGCCGTGCTCACGCTCCTTAACAACAAAACGCGTCAGCGTAGACACTAGTATCGGATAATAAACGTACTCAGCGTACAAGGTGATCAAGCGAATAGAAAACGGGGTATAAATTGTCGAATTCGATAGGCTTGCGAGTGCCGACAGTGAATCACGCAAGGGCCTGGCTTACACAAAAACCAATAGCTTAGAGCTGTAAAAACGAGGGTATAATACACGCACCATGTTGAGATTGACGTCAGAGCCCTCATTCGGGCACAGCATCTCCTTTGGTCTTGGTAGCTGATTAAACACGCTATACACTGGCACGTGTGAGATTGAACGACAGACCGGGTCATCAGACTCGACACGAGTCATCTTCACGGGAGACTGCAAAATCTAGACTGAACGGAAACTAAGCACATGCAAGTTGGGTGGCACTAGAATATCGCTTCACAGCTGCCTTACACTTTTTTTAGTAAAATACACAAATTAAAATCTGAAGTAAGGGTACGTGCATCTGCGCTTGTTGACTTGAAAATGAAACTAGAGCGAGTTTAGCCTTCTCGCTAAGAGGTTCGCATTGAGAAACAATTATAGAGCTGTTGCCGCTAGTCATGGCAACGCAGCGAGCTCGGTAGAGCTTCGTAGCTACTTCTACTACCGTCGCCACGTTGTAGGAGCCGATTGGTTCTACAAGCGCCCAGAAGTTTGTGCTGCACCTCTAGTACTGAATTCGCTGACGCCTAGGCAGGAAAAGGATACGTAGACCCCGGAGTTGGTTCTTGACAAGTAGGTCGAGTACGTGTCAATGATGTCGGCGATCACGGGCGGTATTTTTGTGCCACGCGAGTGCGCCTTGCAGTGCATAACATGTAGATCTCATCAGGTGGAAGAATGAGCTCTGTGACCGCCTCTTCACCGGCATACTCAGCTGCCCTACCGGCGGGGGCTGGTTCTCAAGCCCACGTAGCGATAATGCATTCTTTCCGGCTTCATAACGGAGCGTAGACAAAGCCACAGCCCTATATAGACCGGAGAATGTCCTCGATGCGGGAGGCCGTTTCGGGCCTGGCCGTTAGCAGATAGAGCCACATGGCTTTGATTACACCCTTAAGCATGGTCAGCACACCGTCGACCGTCGATGCGGGCTTGCACTTGACATCGATCCTGCCCAAATGTTGTAGTGGAGCTGCGTCTGCGGATGTAGCGGTAGCGCCGCCCAGGTTGTCCAACTCCGGTGATTGTACATTTGAGGCACAGTTTGTGTACGCCACACGGATCAAGAGGTCATGTAGGCCACGGTACTCCCCTTATTGACTTTATTTCGTAAGCGAAAATTGGCTGAGATGGCTTCCAGCCAATCGCTATCCAGAAAAAAGACAGTGCAAAATGATACTTAAGGTACTCTTCTGCTCCGGTTTTGCACAAAACCTCTACAACTGCATAATATTTGGACAAAACCTCGCACATTTTCTGCTGTAGGAAGGTACTTGAAGTATCCTTTTAGGGCGTTGTACTTGAAGTTTGTATGGTGTCTCTTCAAATAGAAATGTATGGCGTTAACGATAGGGTTAAATTAATGAACTCTAAGCCAATGATTTTAGAGCGACTCTAATGCATGAAGAAATCTACTCTCCACCAATTTTTTTATTGTAGTTGAGACCATCAACGCTTAACTGCTCATTCTAAAAATATCTGAGTAGCTTTGACATATCTTTAGTGTGGGGCATTACATGTACCTCTTCCCTGATGGGTCCTCAATTGACACATCCAGAATCGATCCATGGACCAGCAGTATGCCAATCCATGCTTCGACCAATTGAGCCGTCAGCACATAATAAAGTGACGCGCATGCATATATATTTGTAGCTGTATAATCTCCACCTGACCTGTGCGTTCTTCAAAGTTAAGAAGTTTGTTCGTAGAATAGCGCCTAGGCACTCAAAACGAATAAAGCGCTCACTGGGCGCTATATTTTATTAGTATGCCTGGGCGCTCTGTGCGGGGTAAGACGGTAGGATATGTACCTAAGAGAAAGTCGCAACTTACGACGTACATGTTATTAAAATGTTTGTAAGGTCGTTGTCTACCCACATGAGGTTAGGTATATATATTTACACAGGTGTAATATAGACTTATTAATAGTCGTAAGTTTTACAGCTTCGCTTGATCCTGTTGAGATTGAAAATCGTAACATAGAGGATTGCAGTAAACGCAGTGCACAAAATTGTTGGATTGGGAGCCCAATTAGTTCAGAAATTGCAAGACATAAGGTACGCTGGCTCAAAAAATGTTTTATGTTATCGCAACGTACATGGCAGCTGATCATTGTGGTTCTACAGGTCGAATTCACTATCGCCTTTGCTACGCTCATCAGGATCTCCACGCAGCTCGTCGTCCGCCTCACACTCTTCTTCACGAAACAGCTCACGACGTGTTTTCTTGCGCACACCTGTCTTCTATCCAGGGCGCCTGAGGACAACGCCCTTGTCCAGGGTAGGTAGGATGACGAGCCCACACTCAAAGTCATCGTGCCATATTTAAAAGAAGGTCTTCATCGTGCCTCTGTACTCACATCTTGCTTCTGGGCACAGGTAACACTTGGGTATATAGAGCAGTTCTCACAGTAGAAGTGTGAGCAGCTCTCACAGTAGAAGTGTGAGAGCTGCTCTATATACCCAAGTATGAAACGACTTCTTGCGGTCGCCTCAGAGCAATCCGCATGCTTTGCAAGCTCCCTGGCGCCGTTTCTGAACTCCAGATACTGTAACACAGTCGGCGAACTGGATTAGGGAGTGGCCGGCGCGTTTTCGTCGGCGCTTCATGCCTCCTGGTGACGGTGTGGTCGCCTCTCCTGCAAGATCATGCTCCTTCAGCTGCACCAACTGACTGTGGGACACAGCGTACCATTCCCCACGCTTCTTCACCGGTGTGATAGCCAATTTACAAGCCGCTTTGTGTGAGATGTAGAAATTCACCATTACCAGATCAATGGGGCCTAAGAATAGGATCTTGTAATATTTTGCAAAACGAATCGAAGATTGGATCGAGAAGGTTTGGAGGCGGAGTTGGCCATGTACATCCACTGCGCACATCCATTCCTATTAATCGTTGACTGCCCTCGGGCACACCACGGTCGTTGGTCCTTCTCCTTTCACGCTGTGATTGATCATAGGCGTTGTCAGCACGGTTTCAGGACACAGGTAGTGGACCGGTTTACGGTCCCATCAGTGGAAGACGATCATGCTGGGAACAGTCAGCGAACGTGAAAACATCAACGATCCCCGCAGGATACTTCTAGGTCGGGTCTTTCGAGGCTCAACAGCGTTGCAGTCATACCGCCCCCAAGTCATTATCAACCCCACGACGTACACGTTCAACTCATTAGCCAGCGGAATAGATGAATAGAAGTGGCCGATCGTGACTGCATGAACGGCTTGATGGTCATTTGCGAGCGCAACTTTGAGGCTTCGGATCACCGCTGTAGCTTCCGTCTTATGATCAAATGCGTCGGTCTGAGTTTCGCGAGCCTTCATCTTACCAACGTAAATCTCAAATCTCCAAAGTAAAGACATAATAGAACGAGGTCAGCCTGAAAATCGTAGCTTACATCAGTGAAATTTCAACAACAAAACTGAGTCTCAGATGTGGCAGTATGCTGTCTTGCTGTCATATGTCATAAACGTTTTGGAGTCGTACCTATGCGGCTTGTCTGGCATGAACATTCTCATGGTGTTTCGTCTTGACGTCGCTGGCAAACACCCCCCTCATCGAATAAAATCACTCCAACCGGCCAGGAAGCGCTCGTGTAGCTTCTCGACAACCGGGCGAAGCGTTAACTTATCACGAGTCCCACAAAATGCAAGTCTCGCATAATGCCTTGACAGCGATATCGTGGCATATACCTGCCAAAGGCGCCGGCGGGAACGGCACCGTCTTCCGTCATGGGCCAATGCTGAGAGAATCGCTGTAATGGTCGGCTCAGCATGTGCGCAACTAGCAGACCCATCACGTGGAGAAGCTCGTGCGTTGCGTAGGCTCACTTCATTCGAAGCCGACGCCGTATATGCTTCACGGCTTCCGTTGTCGTCCCTCGTCACTCGGTCTGCTTTACGCGCATCCGCTCGGCTCTGGGGAGGATCATCTGTGAGTAGTAGCCATTGTTTTCTTCGCAGATGTTGACCCACATAAATTTTGGGGCAAAATAGAAGAAGGTTTTGAGTGACGAATGGCAGCGGCTCCGATTCAGCGACTGGCTGTGTTTTTTTAACGGTTAGACCAGCTATTTTCTATTATTCGAGGATTTTTCGTCGTAACTTACGACATTACGAAACGTACGTTACGACGCTGAGAACCAAGGGTTTATAGCTGATTTAAGCATCAAATTGTCAATTTCCAAATCGTACCTAAGTGACCTACGGTCGACCTTGTGCTACCCCTCAACTTGAAGAAGAGCTGGCCAACTGGATAATTGAGCGTCGCCGCCTAGCGATAGCCGTGACGTCGAGCCAACTAAGCGCTAAGGCACTTGGTATTGACCCTATATTCTCAAATCGTTCACTTATGTAGCCATCTTGTTCTCGTACGAGGCTCGCACCCTCAGAAGTCTACGGAAACGAAATCCAACGTCGCAAACTTGCAAACCGGAGCGAACTAAGTACGTTATAACACCGTACTCTAGCTCGCCTATCGAAGCGTACGACCTCGCCTCTAAATACGATAGAGTCATCGATCTTTAGATCCCTGCCACAGGCTTCGTGGGCGTCACAGCTTCGACCGCCATCGCCTTCATCGCACCTCACGACGTCCTTGCCAGATATCCGGTATGCTATAATTCGCTCCTGTATCACTTATTACGTTTTGTTATTACTAACTCACTTATTAATATACACAGCGCTACGTACGATCATGTGCTTACTGGCAACCGGACGTCCTCCTGCACTTCGAGGGCCGTTTCTCCTTCTGGTCAGCGCTCTTTTTGAAATCCGTTCACGGAGACTCGATCTGCTTCTCCCCCTTCCGAACTCGATATGATTGGCTAAGATACGAGCTAAGGGCCCAGCCCTTCGATGAAGTCGCCTATAATCGTGCCCATCATTTACATTTGATAACTTGTGAGAGGTCCAGCTTTTCGAAGAAAATTTGGGGTTTAGCTCATCGAGGAATACGATAGATACTTTTAGCGTGCAAAAAATCCTACTCCGTTTAAAATAACGATAAACATGGAGCGGCATGTGTGGCTTCAAAAACACATTGACACTATTAATAGTTGTGGAAATAATTAGAAAACAATTTACAATGCGACAAGAATTGTGGCGGGGTCATACCGCACCTTGCGCTAGCGAAAGTGGCTTCCGAGAGTATTCAACCTAATTTATAGTTTTTTAGTATTAGAATTGTTTTGATACATGAACCGTTTGGCGGTGGTCCGGGCCACCATAAAGGCCCGGCACCCAGATAATACTGAAGGCAGGCATTCCGAAATAATCATTGTATTGCTGCTTCAATACAATAGTTTACACTATATTATTGATTTTTACAAATTGGATGACTTTTTCCAATTAGTTATTTTGTATTTACAACAAAGTACTTTATTTTTTCGTAGAATCTAGTTTTTTCTGCTTTGTTTTGCGTAAATAGAGCAGTCAGATATTATGACTGCGAGCACTAGATAATTAATTTTGGTGAGCTTCAATGTCGCATCGATATGAAGTACAAACGTAGACGGGTCGCGGTTGGCCTGCCTTAATCGCGCCTTTGTTGTGATGTCCAGTAGAAAGGGGTTCGCGTCGGATCCATTGCCAACGTACGATCTTCCCTCAACGTCGAACGCTCCGTCTGCTCGCAAATTGTGTCTCCTCTCAGCGAAAGAGGTCAGGATCAGTTGCAGAAGGCTCAAGAAGACAGAAGCGTTTTATGATAATCACCGTCTCGATGTGGAATTTCATAAGTCGGATTTCGTCTACGTCCGTGCTAACCTGCTAAACAAGAGCTTCGCCAACGCAGACTATGACGTCGATAAGGATTCAACGGTGAATAAGCTGTGGCCACTCTGGTTCGGTCCATTTGCTATCGTCAAACGAGTAGGCAAGACTGCCTACAAGCTATTGTTGCCGACCGTACTCCGGTCTCATGATGTCTTTAATGTCGACCAGCTGAAACGTTCGGTGGGGTGCCCACCGGAATTCAATGGTCGACCCTTTCGTCGCGCGGCACCAGTTCTCTTCGACGAAGATGGTAATCGAATCTACGTCGTGGCTGCCCTGCTGAAAAAGCGTCGTTACCGCGGTCGAGTTCAGTATCTCGTAAAGTGGGCTGGCCTGCCAATCCAAGGTCGCACATTGGGCAACGCTCTTGACAGCATTTCGCCAGCGCGAGCAGCAACACGCTACATCAACTTAGGTGGCGGGGATTGTAGTGTCCCGGTGATACCATCTCTATTAGCGTGGGACCAGTCCAATGGCATGCGTGAATGCGAGGGACGCTACAGTGTCGACGAAGGTATGTGTGAGTTGCTGCCAATGCCAAGCTGCAGATAGCCAGCCAGGTCGTAACAGCCAGACATGACAAGATTACAAGACTGACAACAGGAACGTGAAAGCCGCTCAGCCTGTCAGCAGTAGCTCACGCGGACGTAGTCGCCAACGACCTTCGCCAGCTTGATATTTGCGCATCTATTATATTTGCACTTCGTATTAGAGACATATATAGCAGCAAGGTTAGCTTTTGTCTTTAACATCAATTCATTCAGTCCACAATTTGCCGTCTTCTGAGCAAGCAACACTACATCAGTGCTACTGCTGTACTCAGCATAATTGATAACATCACGGCTTTTATTTTTTGAGTTGATTACTTCGCCGGGAAACTTTCATCCACCGAGCTTTAATTTTTTTTAACAGTAAACCTCTTTTTTAGCTGACCCATTCGAAGCGCAAGACTGCCGTTTGTACCTCCAGAAAACGATTTGAATTAAGTTTAAAGTAATATAAAAGAGCGTGTACCTGTTAAGAAAAGTAGTGGACAGGGCTACCGATTGCAGCAGGTTTGCCGGCAGAAATTACAAGAATCCTATTGGCTGGTGAAACATGCAAAACATTTGAACCGTGAGGACCACTATATCACAGTTTTGACCCGTCGGCATCATGTTTTATCTTTAATAATAAAAAGATTAGCGCTGTTTTTCGGGTCAGGATCGTCCTACTAGGGCATAGAGGTCGGATTCAGTACATCAGCAGACTCAGAGCGAGCTCACACTTAAGGCTACAAAGCATTCATACAGCTCAACACAAGCTTACTCCAATTTCTCATTTCGGGAACTATCACCTGATGAAACGGCGACGATAGATACCATCCAGTATCGACGATACAGCTAAGATACCGTCTGACACTTTTTCTAGAGAAGCTGTCAGCGAACAACTGTCGGGCTTCCTCGGACAAGAAGTCAAACACGTGGCAGCCCACAAGAGGAATCGGATCGAGAGTTGTTACTAAGACTAGAAGGTCGTTGGGTAGCCGAGGTCAGTTAAAGTTTTACTCAGCTACCCGACCCACAAATTAAGTACTTTGTGCCCCACACGAGCGTGATTATTGAAAAGATGCCGTCGCACAGGCATGTAACAATCGTAACATA